CACACACACACACACACACACACACACAGACACACACACACACACACACACACACACACACACACATACACATATGCACATACCATTCAATCAGTGTCCGACCAGAAAACCCAGGATTTAAACACCTGTTTGTGTGCGGTTGTGAGCATGCATGTGTATACAAGATCTTCTCCAATGGAATGTTTCAAAGTGTCTGTGGAGGACCACAGACCTGACCCGTAAAGCTCGAAGCCGACATAAGGGAGACCAGCGTCAAAGACCTCGAGAGGGACCCCAAGTGCGGAGCCCCCAGAGACACCTGCGCCAGGAGGGACGACCACCCACCCCCCAAAGGAGACCACAGGAGAGAACAGGGAGAGCCCCACCAGTGACCACACACAGTAACCCCCAGGAGCCAGCAGCAACGAGCTTACAGGCCCTGCCGGCACCCACCGTGCCAGAGCAGATCCAGGTATGGCCACAGAGGCCCGGGCCCAACAGGGCCAGGGGACCCAAGTCCCACCAGGCGGCCACCGGACTGAGCTGGCACGTGCCCAAGCACCCAGCCCCAGACAACGAGAGCCACCAGCACAACCCACCAGAGGGCAGCGCGGCAGGGGAAGCAGTGGATCTTCAAATGAACCCGAAGAAGGGGCCGCCCAAGTCCCAGCCTGACAAAAATCCACACATACACAATCGCACAATCCCACCCTCATCCTCTCACCCACCCATTCAAGACACACACAATGGATGCCACATTCCACTCACACTCCCCATACATACTACATACCCCTGGGTCTAGGACATGCTTCTATGTCTAGGGTGTACAGTAAAATTGGAACCCTGATGGTTATAGCAAACAGATGTAAAATTGTTGCACCTTGTAACACACCTGTGCCCCAAAAAACCCTACATGAGTGCGGTTGAAGAATGAAGAGGGTGGAGGTGTGTGGTGGGGGATGGGGAGAAAAAAAACTGAGAGCAAAATGCTCCCATAGGGGGTCAGCTCCCCCGCTGACCCCGGTAGGCTCTCCCGTTCCCCGAGACCCATCTGGGGAGTGAGGCTCCAATACCTCCTCCGGACAGACCGCCAGGCCTGGACAGCCTCAGACCATGGACAGACAGAGCCCAGAGGGCCGCCAGAAACCGGGAGCAACAGTCCACCCGCCCCAGAGCCACCCAGACCCCCAAGACCAGACCCCTAGCCCCACAGCCAGCCCGCAATCTTAAGGAGCTACCGAACCCCAGCAAGGACGATTCAGTCGAGAGTGCACACCCAGCCGCCAACAGTGCAAAGAGGGACCAAGAGCAAGCCTCTGCCACAACAAAGGGGCCAGCCAGCCGACCCAGCACAGCCCCTGGCTGCCACCAAGGCCACCCACCCAGCCCCACCCCAGAAGAAATACTATACCCACCCCATCATTCAGACAACTCTCAGAACATATGGCACGCTAGACACACAGGCTGGATTGGCCTAACCCCTCCCACAGGTCACCGGCCGCGCCCCAAGCTAGCCCAACCCCCCAGCTCATGAGACCCACAGCCTACCAGCACACCAAACGCCCCCCCGCCCAGAGCCGGGCACCAGGGCACAAACCGGCCCAGAGCCCGCAACCCGCCCACCAGGACTCAAGCGCCCACAGCCCCACCAGGACCACAGCCCAGGGGCGGCACGACCCCCGAACCCTAAGCTCCCCATGCCCATCCCAAACCCACCCCAGCACAGCCAGGCCACCAGGTCAGCGATACGTGACCGCCGCTACAGACCACCTGAGGACCCGCATGCAGCCACCAGAAGACACCCCCGCCAAACCACCAAGGCCCCCCCA